CAGTCTGAAGAACAATTTCACCATGCAAAGAACCATTCAATAGCTCTATAGTTCTATATGGCACCCAAAAGAGTTCTTCTATTGCTACAATGTCAACGCTTTTGGGTGCTGTAAAAAATCATTTTCAAAAGGTCCATATAGAACCTTCTATAGCACATTCATGAACATTTTCCATCAATCTGAAGAACCATTGCACTATTTAAAGGACTCTTTAATCATGCAAAGGGTTCTTTGAGTGTTCATGGTTCTATACAGAACCATTTTCCTTCCTAACGAACCCTTAAAAAAAAACATCTTTTTTAAGAGTGTAAGTTACACTAATGCTGGCTTGGTTATATGTACCAGGCTCTAGATCATGAGTACTGATCGCTGTAGTGAGAGAACACTGATGAACAGAAATATAAACGATCTAAAATCAGGAATTTTGCCAAATTGAGGCCGAGGGAACCTGCATGACACGACAGATAACACATTAATCTCTAATTTTAGGCTGGAATGTCCTTTTAATAGCTCTAAATTTTGACACCAGTACCTTCAATAATGTGCAATGTAACCTAACTTGACCAACTCTCTCTAATACACAGTGCAACTGCTTAATTTGTACTTTATAATGTTTTGGCTAATTTATTTGATCTAATTCTCAAATGGTTTTATAATTATTTATAGTGTTTTATTCTGCCTATAAAGTACACTCTTAAAACAGATGGTTCTGCAATGGTTCTTTAGTAAAGACAGTGGTTCTATATACAAATATGAACACTCAAGGAACCATCTGCATGCATTGTGAGATGCTTCTTCAGACTGATGGAGAATGTGTTGTATATGGTTCTGTGTAGCACTAAAAGTGACAATGCCAAGCTTGTAAAAATAGCAGAACCCTTTTTGGTGCCATACAGAACCATTTTCAAAAAGGTTCTACATAGAACCATAAACACATTCTCCATCAATCTGAAGAACCATTTTACTATGCGAAGAACCCTTTAAGCATGCAAATGGTTCTTTAAGTGTTCATGGTTCCCTATAGAACCATTGTTTTACTAAAGAATCCTTGAAGAACCATCCTTTTTTGTGTTGTATTTGTGTTTGTATTTTATTGTTGTATCTGTTGTCCTTGTTGTTGTTTTCGTTGTGTAGCGAAAGTAATTTATTAATTTATTACAAAACGTCACAAAAAATAAAACAACCTCCTCTCCAAATAAACCCTTGTAAACATGTTTTCAGGTTTTTCTTCATCAGGAAACAGAGCTGAGAGGTTTAGTTTAGGTTAGTCAGTGATATGAATGTAAATGTAAATGAACACAGTGTTTGTCAAATATAGAATAAAAGTCTCAGAACTGAGCCTTGATTCTTACCCGCTTTAGAGACGGACAGAAAAGCTCCAGCCTTTATTTAATAAGTACAAGTTTCAGAGAGTTTCTGTGGTGGTTGATTTCACAGGTGCTGCGTTTGGCTCTGGAAGGCTGCTCTGATGAGGTCAATCATTTAGTCAATGTCGCCACCTGTCGATGCGGAGCGGCAAAGACAGGCGCTGTAATGTGGAGATTTCCATTTCTGCAATGTGACCCTTTTGCTGTCATCATAAACAGTGAAATGATTTGTATTTGGCATTGATCACTAAATTAAACAGTGAAATGATTTCATAAACAGTGAAATGATTTGTATTTGGTATTGATCACTAAATTTATTTTACTTTATTTTATTTTTTATTTTATTTTTTTCAGCTACTCAGTTTATTTCAGTGCAGTTGCCAAAAGGACGGCCCAAGAAACTGCACATTTCAAAGTTTTATTTGTTTATGTATGCTTTCCTTTTTGAAGTGATTGTTATTAGAGTTATTTAATAAATACTTGCACACAAACCATCTTTTTTCTTTGTCATTTTTTTTCTTTCTGTCTTTCCGTTCCTTTCATTTTATATTCTATATTTATACTGTAAAATGCTGCTTGGTGATGAATAATGAGGAGACAGAGCTGAACGTGTTTCTGTTTATTAGGAGGAATAACGTTAGCGCGCTCGGCTAAAGCGTTTGGGAAATGGAGACTGAAACTGGGGAGCGGCGACGCTCTGATAAACAGCAGCGGGCGCTCTCACAGTATTATTGCTATTACTTGTAGAGAGGAGAATTACCACTCTGTAATGTCTTCCAGGTTTCTCAAACTCTAGAGGGCGCTCCGGAGCGAGTCCAAAATGAATGGGTTAAGATGGAGAATTTGAGAAAAGTCATAGTTTATAAATGCTTAAACATTTTTAATGTAAAATATTACAATCTTTTCCTGAACACTGAATAGCATAAAACATTTAAACACTGCTGTTATATTTTTAAGAGCTTTTAAACTCAAGTTTAAAAGGGCGCCTCATGTACGTTCATGACGTCTGTGAGCGCAAACAGCCAATGAGCTGCTCCGCTCACCAACCAATCAGCGCTCAGTAACAGTAATGCACTCAGTAGCAGTAATGTTAGCATCCTGCTGCCTAAAACTTGTTTGCTGTAGAAAAAAGGAAACATACAGGTAAGTTTTCTTTGCTTTTTTAGTGAAATACATTCTTCTACTTTCTAAAATTAAAAGAAAGTTCTGGGCGAGTGATTAGAAACTATTTTAACTTTTTGCTTTTAGCCATTTAGCTCTATTTCCTCCCATTCATTGAGGAGTTGCTCACAGGCTCCTCTGCCATTTTGCAGTCATGTTTTTGTTGTAACAGGGGAAATAGGAAGTGGCCAGGCTCCTCATAAAGCAGCTCTGCTTTAGTTTTGTTTGATCTTTTTATATCATTTACATCAAAAACAGTAGCTAACGTTAGCTGGCTAGCTAACTAACTTGATTATTTTGATAACGTGTTGACAAATGTCGGTTGCTAGGTAACAGACATGACAGTTGATTGTCGACTTTGATCGAGTAGGTTAAGATTTCCTTACTGGACTTAAGATGCTGTAAGATAAGACTCCTAAATTAGATATTACAATGTCTGCTTTTGTGATACGAATTTGTGAAAAATCTTATCTTGACCTGTCAGACTTACATCAAAAACATTAGAAGTTTCTGTCGTACAGCCCAGTTCTGTAGTCCACCTGCACTGGTTTGTGATCTTTTCAACATCAGGTCTTCAGGAGCTGAATTAGGTGAATCAGGAAAAACACACACCTGTCCAGGGTAGGTGGAAATCAGGCTGGAGCTCCAAACTCTGGAGAACTGATCGTATTCTCTATTTATTAGCTACAATATTCTGAGGCAATCCACAATTTGAAGAGCCAATATCACTTTTTTTGCAAATAAACGTCTTTGATGTGGTATGTAAACACAGCTAAAATTCACTCCCCAGTCCATGAACTGCATTTAAATATGCTGTTTTTGTGATGTCACAAAAGCTGACACACATTTACACATATCTGCCCATTCAGTCTACAGAGGTTTAGCTCCGCCCATTCACACTGAAGTGTTTCTGCCTGGACTGCTTTTGAGCAGCCAATCAGAACAGAGGTCATTTACATATGATATGTCTTATAAGTCTTAAAAGCACCATAACAAGTCCTGCCTGTTTAATTCTACATTCTTAAAATGATGGTTCTTCAAGGGTTCTTTAGAAAAGAAAATGGTTCTATGTAGAACCATGAACACTCAATGAACTCTTTGTATAATTACAGGGTTCTTTATATCATCAAAAAGTGTTCTTCTGTTGTATTGTGATGATGTCTAGCTTGTAATAATAGAAAAACCCTTTTTGGTGCTATATAGAACCCTTTTCAAAAATCTTCTTTATAGAACCATCTACAGCACATTCTTCATCAATCTGAAGAACCATTTCATGATGCAAAGAACCCTTTAATCATGCAAAGGGTTTTTTGAGTGTTCATGATTTTATATAGAACCATTTTCTTTACTAAAGAACCCTGAAGAGCCATCATTTTTAAGAGAGTATGGGATAAAGAGAGGCTGGAAAATAGCTATGCAAGAATGAATTATTACTGTTTTCGGTACATAAACCAACACAAATGTTACACGTTGACCTAAACAATAAACAAAGAAATAAATAGAAATACAAGATGATATGTGCCCTTTAAAAGTGTGAAAACCGTAGTAACTGAAAGAAATTACACATTTTAAATGTATTCAGGGATAATTTTAGATTCTTTACTATGTTTTTATGTGATAAAATGTAATAAGATACAGAAAAACACTGTAATAAATTACTACTTTCTAGTTTGGGTTAAAAGGTCTGCACACTTTTAAACCCACAGTACAGACACAAACTCCTGTTTTAGACTGTTGTTTTTGTTGTTTACATAATTTTGTGCTCAGGACACAGATATGGCTTTCCCCTTAGAATTCACATATACATTAACAACTATATAAGTATACATAATTGATACAGATATTAGACCTACAGACTATTATTATTATTATTATTATTACTACTATTATTTATTGTTATTATTATTGTAGATGTATGATCATAGTGCTTAAATATTTAAATTACAGTCCTTGAAACTTTTTTTTTAGAAAAGTAAAAGTATGGTGAAAGAAACAGACATTAATCTTATTTATTAGTCTCCTAACGCCTCTTTAAAATAGGAAACCTGTATTTGGGCGCCATCTGGTGGCAAACTGAAAATACTACTGTCTGTTAAACCTCTATTGTGCCATTTTTGTAGCTTAGAAAACTTAGAAATGCTATTAAAAAGCAATAGTGACACTATACCCTCTTAATTAATTAATATTTTACTTCATAACTCTCTGAATTTATTAATAATACATATCCTCATCTCAGCTGAATCATATACGGAGTTACCTAATAGACCTGAAAGGCTGGTAGGATGAGTTGTAAGCTAAATCTATCTGTCTCTTCGTCATTGGCCCATAAGCTGTAAAAACAACATAACATCAGCTGATTGAAAATGGGTGGTGTGAGGTTTTTGTTTCCCCATTCAGACAACGTCCAATCCTAGCACAGGCAGTGGGTCCAGTAGCCAATCAGAGTGCAGGAGGGCGGGGCTTTCCGGAATGCGGGTGGGAGGAAGAAGGGCTTGTAGTCGAGCACTCGTCTGACGGCGCACTGTATCTAGAGGATATTTACACCTGTGGACTCAGTAAGTAGACTTAATTTAACGACCCTAACCTGATCTGAGTAAACTGTCATGTGCTTTTATGTGCATTTACACCGAATCATACGCCTCGATTTGTAGTTTTAGACACAGATTCGCACCTAAAAGACTAAAGTTTAACTCTCTGTTACCCATATAGGTCTGCCGTTATAAGAAATAGTGAGCAGTTTGTTTAAAAGATCGTTTAAAACGATATTTAGCTGTCAGGTTGTGCTCATTTGCGCTGTGGAGCGGGGCTGTGGAGCTGCTGTCTTAGTTTCGTTTTCTCAATAAACCGACGCTCGCTAATCTCTCAGCCACCGCTACAAACACACGAACTGAGCTTTTATCACGAGGTTATGAGAAGGATAACGGACGTATGGTGCCTTCATAAGGTCACTGATTTAGCTGTTTATCTGTGTGAACCTGATTAGGAGGCTGAAAGTCCAGTTGGTGAATTTTGGCTACTTCCTGATGTCATTCTAAGTGTACACTCTTACAAAGATGGTGCTTCAAGAGTTCTTCAGTAAAGAAAATGGTTCTATATAGAACCGTGAACACTCAGAGAACCCTCTGTATGATTAAAGGGCTTTTTGCATCATGAAAGGGTTCTTCAGACTGATGGAGAATGTGCTGTATATGGTTCTATACAGAACCTTTTTGAAAATGGCTCTGTATTGCCTCCAAATGGGTTCTTCTTTTGTTATGGTGTCAAACTTGCAACAGCAGAAGAACCCTTTTTGGTGCTACATACACTCTTAAAAAAGATGGTTCTTCAGGAGGTTCCTTAGTAATTACAGTGGTTCTACACAGAACTATGAACACTTAAAGAACCATTTGCATGATTAAATGGTTCTTCACATTGACAAATGATGTGTTTATGGTTCTATACAGAACCTTATTGAAAAGTTCTATATAGCACCAAAATGGTTCTGGTATTGTTACGATGTCAAGGTTGTAACTTTGGAAGAACACTTTTTGGTGCCATATGGAACAAACCATATACAGCACATTCTCCATTAATTTAAAGAACCATTTCACCATGCAGAGAACCATTTATGCATGCAAATGGTTCTCTATAGAACTCACGGTTCTAAATAGAAGTATTGCCTTTACCAAAGAACCCTTGAAGAACCATCTTTTTACAGAGTGTGTGTTAGCTGTTAGCTGTGTTCCAAAAAATCAGTTCCATTTATTGTAGTTTACTGTACTTTTTTGTAGTTTACTGTCATTTGCCACAGTCTACCGTAGTTTATTGAGCTTTACTGTAGCCTGCCATAGTTTGCTGTAGTTTACTGTACTTTCTTGTAGTTTTGCTGTAGTTTACTTCAGTCTACTGTAGTTTATTGATGTTTACTGTTGTTTGCTGTAGTTACTGTAGTCTATTGTAGTTTGCTATAGTTTACTATACTCTACTGTAGTTTACTGTAGTTTCGTGTAGTTTATTGAGGTTTACTGTAGTTTGCTGCTGACCTCCTCCTGCTCTGTTTCCTCTGTGCTGCAGGGGCTGATTTCGTTTTCTCAGCAGCGCTTTAGGTTTCGTTTCTCTCCATTTGGGCGGCAAATTTGAAGTCCCTTCTGGGCGAGCGACCATGGCGACGTCACTGCTGAACCTGGAGGAGGACCTCACGTGCAGCATCTGCCTGTGTCCGTTCGACGGGCCGGTGAGCCTCGCGTGCGGCCACAGCTTCTGCCAGCAGTGCCTGGAGGCCGCGTGGAAGGACGCGGGGCCCGTGAGCTGCCCGCACTGCCGCACGCTCTACGCGGTGCGGCCCGTACTGAAGCGGAACACCGTGCTGAGCGCTGTGGTGGACACCATCAGGTTCGCGAGCGACGCCGGCGCGCCGCCGAGCGAGGGCGCGGGAAGGAGGACGAGCAGCAGCGAGCGCGAGGAACCGAAGCCCAGACCCGAACCCAAGCCCGTGCTCTGCGACACCTGCATGCAGGCGAAGGCGGAGAGCACGTGCATGACGTGCGCTGCCTCCTTCTGCAGCGAGCACGTGCGGCCCCACCGCGAGAACCCGGTATACCGCGCGCACCGCCTGGTCGAGCCGCCGCTCGCGGACCTGCAGAACCGCCTGTGCGCCGAGCACGCGAAGCTGCTAGAGTTCTACTGCGCGCCGCACGAGCGCTCCATCTGCAGCGGCTGCCTGCAGGAGCAGCACAGGGGCTGCAGCTTCTACACGGTGGACGAGCAGCGCGAGAAGAAAGAGGTGCACGAGCAGTGTGTGACATAGAGAAATAAAAAGGTTTACGTGTAAAAACTAAAATGTCACTTAATTACATTTTGATCTTATTTTTTATAAATTAAATCATGTAATGCAAATTTAATACATGCAAATGTCAAAATAACTTAAATCAATTACAATGAAAAAAATGTCAATTTATTTGAATTTGGGGTCAAATTTTAAATTTAGCTTAAAAGTAAAATTGACATTGAAAAAATGCTGCGTATGTGTAACAAATAAAATGTAACTTTAATTTTATTTTATTTTTTAAAAATCTTTTAAATGTAAATAAATGTAAATGTCAAACAATCAAAAATAGCTTTAAAAAATCAGTAAAAACAAAAAAAATCAAATTTTAAATTGTTTAAAAGTTATAACTGAAACTTCAATACAGCATGTGTACAAATAAGTTGTATAATAAATCAGCATTTTAAATAATTTTTCATTTTATTTTCTTTAAAATAAACTAAGTAAATAAAAATAACGTTTTTCTATGCCTGTGTGATTAAAAAAAATTCAATTAAATTCAATTAAGTTTCAATTAAAAATTATTTCGAAAATGAAAATAAAAAGTTAAAAAAATAACTTTATTGTTTAATTTTTAAATGTAAAATTCAAATAAAAATTAAAATAAAATTATTAGATTAAATAATTAATGAATTCTATGAACTATGTTTTGTGCTTTAAGTCTGAACTGAAGGAAAAGATGGGCACTCTCGATGGCAAAATTGAAAAGAACCAGTTGGTCATCTCCCAGATGAGGGAACAGCAGGCCAAGCTCAAGGTCAGAGTGTGTCTGTGTGTGCATAAAGAGGTGAAGTGTGTGTAGAGTGAGTGATTTATGTGTTGTTGTGTTTTTAAAGGTAGCTCTTTACTGACCCGCTCTTATTGTGGTTTTGGTCTTGATCTAACATTCCTCCTCAGGATGTAGCGGCGGTCCGTAAGCGTGCTCTGGAGGCCGAGTATCAGCAGCTCAGAGACATGCTGCAGAAGGATGAGAAGGAGGCCATGATGGCTCTGGAAAAGGACCTGGAGACCGGCCTGAGCAAACTCAGCACACTCATGAAGAAGTTCAACCAGAACATTGAGAAGATGAGCGGAACCAAGGACGAAATCAACAGGCTGCTGGTCCAGTCCCACTCTCTGGACTTCTTACAGGTTAACAGCGGGTATCTCTGACCAGGACAGCATTTCCTGGAAGCAATGTTGAGCAACCACCGTAGTAACTGTGGAGAGAGAGTGTTCAACACGATAGTCTCTCCATCAGTTAACGATGGTAGCTGTTCAATGATGCTTTCGGGAAACACACCTCAGGGCTGGGACTGGACTGTTTTTTAACACACAAATACCTCTACAATACGGCTGCATAGTGACGCTGCTGCCTCAAAGCAAGAAGGGCCTGGGTTTGATTCCCCAGCCAGGCGACCAGGGTCCTTTGTGACCCAGGAGTGGCTTAGATGCTAAATGTGTGTGTTCATGTACCAAAAACATTCATAATTATCCTATAGAATTAAACAGGCTATTTTTGTCACTGTGCCTATATGTATGTAAATATGTAAATGCCCCTTGTTTTGATTGGCTGCCCTGAAGCGAGCCTCATTCCAAAGGCTGAAAACTCCATTCCAAAGGCTGAAACATGCCTACAGGAGTTTAGTTTTACTCCTGTAGGCTAGAGTAGATGGATGTGTGTACAACGCATTGATTTTTTTGACATCACAAAAACAGTGAATTCCGAATGGGCTGTTCTTGCAGCGTAGTTTCCATATACGGACTAAGGAGGGAATTATATATTTAGAATTTTTTTCACATACAAACACTTTCATTTTGAAAATTGTACATGATGGGGCCCTTTAAATCTGGTGTAAATGCTGACTTTTTGTAAATATTTTAATTCTCTTTCAATTAATTCTATAATCGCTTGTTTTTGATATCTGGTCCTTTTTGCCTCCTCTAGGCAACTGTGGACTTGCCTTCTGTGGTGACCTTTGACCCATACGCCCCTCGAATCAACCTTGACTCCAAATGTGTCATAGCGCACCACGCCTGCATCGTTAATCTGAAGGAGCAGATATCTAAGGTCCTGCAGCAGCCAGTGGAGAACAGGCTCTCTTTCCTCAAACCAGGTGGGTGTATACATGTAACATACACTGTATATTTTTTCTGTAATTTCTGTTCATATGAGAAGGAATTCGTGCCAGATTGAAAAGCAGTCACTACAGTGGAAAAGCGTTAATTGCAGTGCACACAACATTACGATAAGACATTATACTGGGTTTATTAGCAGAAAAAGCAACCAGGCTACTGTTGAAATGCATAAAAAATACATCAAATGGAATTCTCTAGCTATGAATGTGTGTATGTATGGCAAATGGATTAAGTGATATAATTAATGAGATAGAAAAAGAAAAATATGATGATGTGATACTGTTTTAAGATTCTTCTGAAGCAGACAAACGTTACCGTGCCGTTGGGCCGCTTCTGCCATTGTGGCAGAGAGTGCATTTGCACGTGACGTCACTGGGGCTGAGAGTGTATGTCTGCAGATAGACTCTGTGGTGTATTTCACTGGTTTTACTGTTTAGATTACAGTACAATGAAGCAAATCTGTTTAAAGTACTGCATAGTGGACGGAAATTCATAGTATTCGATTGCGTCATTAAGAAAACCACATCGCCATGTTGGCAGGCGAGCTGTAGCTCTGACTGTGCTCTGAAAGAGCTTGTCTCATCACTGTTACAGCAGCTACAACCATCTCAGCCATTCAGATTTCAGCTTTTATTTGTTATCACAAAATCAAGGCAATAAACTCAGAAATATGCAGTTAATATGCTTAAAAATGATGTTTAAAAAAGCAAACGTTAAATGTTACAGAGCTGCTGAGCTGCATTAATATCTGTGAAGCAGAGTTAATGCAACACATTTGTAGTTAACTTATGGTAAAGTTAGTTAGCATTAGCCTAGCTAGCTATCTAATATTGTGATATTATCCTTTATCAAAATAATGAGGCATGTGATATTCATATATGTCATTATACATCAGAATTTAATGAATAAACTTATGCTGGTTATCCTTTATATTTACATGTATCTGATCACCACTACTATGATAATGCTAATTTCAGCTAGCTGTGGGATTCAGTCTCTATGGCATTTGCAGTGACATGTTAGCACCAAGCTAATGGTGGTGTACATTCACTTTTTCACATTGAGTTTAATACCACACGGCTCGAGCTTGGAGCTGCATGTGACATATTTCCAATTTATATACTGCAGTTTTTCAGTTACCCCATTAGTAAATACTTGAACTTAAAGCGAAACTGTGAGTGTTATTAGAGGAGCCTGTTAGCTTTTGATAAGAGAAGCTGTGCATATTTTTTTAAAAAACTGAAATGAATGTATTCTTTTCTTAGGATTTTTGTTTCTAAGGAGCAATTTAACTGCTGTTTCACTGTTCACTAATATGTGTATGTATACACTCTCATACAAAATATAATGTTTTTTATTAATGCCTTTGGGCTGGTCAAAGTCCAGATCTAAACCCTATAGGGAATATTTGGTCTCACAGTAAACACAAATTAGCTTGGCGAGAGCCGGCAGGAAGGCAGGGCGTGAACCTCGAGATTGGATGATAACCGCAAGGACTTGAGGGGACGGCCTCCTGGGCAACGCCTCCAGTCCCGCAGCAAGACCCCTTTAATAGACCTTATGTTTGATCCCAGGGGGCGCTGTGGAATGGGGGCAGGGCCAGCAAACTTTCTTTCTCTCTTGGCTCATGCCCTTATGCTGCCCTTAATGAAAGCTTGGAAGCCACTGAAGTGTGGCCAACTTTAGGTTTCATTTCTGATTTTGTTTGTGAGTGTAAAATAAGGTCAAAATGCACGCTGCATCCGTCTCTCCTGCCTCAAGGGTCCTTCCTCCACCTGGGGTAGCACAGGCCATACTACAGTAGTCTTATTAAAGTATAGTTTTGTACTATGTGTCTATGGACTTGTGTAAAATGTTGTGTGATTACAGTAAATTGAAAAGTCTGTGTATGCGTAAATTTTTTACAGAACTGGGAAATCCTCTTGCTAACGAAGGTGAGACAGAACACAAAATGATAAACAAACAAACACACAGATAATCGGTTTTGTGGTTTAATTCAACCCAGCTCAGCTTGAATGAACAGTGGAATCTGAGGGGCTTCTGAACGGAGGTTAATCTGCTTTTGATTACAGCTTTCTAACACTAACTCCATTCTGGTGGATGGGGCTGTTTTCCCTATAATTAATAATCATTCTAATGTAATCAGAGGTGATGCAGTTGAGCTAAACTAAATCCTTCTTTGTTTAGGTGCTGGTAACGCTCCCACTACGTTACCAAACCCGAGGGAGGGTGAGTGCTGTAATGCCTTATTTAAAATAATTAATAGCAAATCACAGTAAAATTTTCTTCCACCCAGAAATGTAGTTAGTTTTACAGTATGCTGTTGTTGCCAAGCAGCCAGGGGCTGCTGAAGGAGGACAAGAACATTCAGTCTCCCGTTACTGTAGCCTATATTGAAGTCCTGAGTGAGTGAGTGTAATATAATGATAAAATATCATGGCATAGCAATGAGTACTTTGACATACACTTAATAATCCAGTACTGCAGAAAATCAGATTTTGTCAGTAATTCGATCAACACGTTTACATGCACTCGAGTAATCAGATAATGGGAAACTCCAGATCTACATGAGTCAGGCAGTAATCAGATTTCTGCTTTGCAACTGGCCAATAAACTCACAGAAGAAGATGTGACGTAAACATATCGTGATTTGGTGTTTGGTTTCAGCGCCGCTCCAAAAGTGTTTTGTGGTACCACCGTCTGTTCTCGCGCATGCACAGACTGAGAAATCTGAAAGAAATCAAAGTAAGAGTTTACATGCACTGAGAAACCTGATTACTGAACTAAAATCTAGTTCTCTTTATCATATTTCTTGATCAGATTTCTAGATCAAAGTATGGTGTTTACATCACCATTTTAATGATTGGATAACTGCAGAAATCCTGTTATGATCGGATTATTGAGTGCATGAAAACGCACTCAGTGTTTAATACCGAAGCGTTTGCCTTATAAGTAGTTTTTACTTACCAAATTATCACCAAAATCATAATGCTCATTTATGCTGGTGACTCTTGTATTGTCTTAGCATCAAGCTAATGATGCTAAAGCTAAAGCTAACACATTCGTTTTCCCACTCTGGGTTTAATACTAATGTTACTTAAGGCAGACATAAACCATAAACAGTTTAAGTGTGTAAGACCTTCAAATAACATATTTTTACTTTTTTCAGTTGCACAGTGAATTGTTCAATAAATAGGTCACTGCTATATTTTAGCCTTGTTGCTAAGAAAATATGTTCTCAGCTTCTCAGTTTAAACAAAACCAGGTTTAATTAATTTATTCATACACTCTGTGCTCCATGCAAGCAGCAGCCATTCATTCACAGCACAGTGGTTTTTAGCTCATTAATACAGAATAATACAGTTGTTCTTTTATGGTACAGTAGAAGCAATTCAGCTGCCTATGCTTCCTGTACTATAATGCAGTCTGTTAGAATAACTGTGTGTGTCAATATAGATATGCACATTTTTCCATTCAGTTTATGCAGAGCCTGGTAATGAACTGATGAATCAATTTAAATAATAAGACAAAAAACTGCATCATAGTCCTATTTTTGCAGTTTATATTGTGTTTGTTGTTTTAAACTTCCTATCTATCTTTCCATCCATCTATACATCCATCCATCATTTATTCATTCATCCATTTATCCATCTTTCCGTCAACCCATCCATCCATCCATCCATCCCTCCATCCATTCTTCCATCCCTCTACCCATCCATCCATCCATCCACCTGTAAATCTATTCAATCATTCATTCATTCACTCATTTATTCACTGTTCTATTCTTCCATTCATCCACCCATCCATCCCTCCTTCCATTCATTCATCCATCCATACATCCATGCCTCCATCCCACAGTCTATATCTTTATCTATTTGCTCTTATATTACAGGTTCTGCCCCCAGTGAAGACCCCAGGCCCACCAGTCCATCTCAGGCTAAAGGTGCACCTGGAGGAACCAAAAAGAAACCACCACGTAAGACACAAGGAACATTTTCACTCTTTTTCTCACTCATTTATTGGAAGAGACATTTATAAAGCAGTCCTCAAAAGCTCATGTATCAATCATCTTTCTTTATAGAGACCTACTTTTATAGTGTATATTTTGCCTGAAAAGAAATCCTGTGTTCCTGCAGCATGTTATTTGTTTAACGTTTCTGTTTCAAAGGAGAGAAAAAGGAGAACAAAGGAGAGAAGAAGGAGAACAAAGGAGAGAAAAAGGACAACAGAGGAGAGAAAAAGGAGAACAAAGATCAGAAAGAGCGCAAAGAATACAAAGGAGAGAGTAAGTCGTTAAAACCCTGTTATTTTGCTTTGCACATTATCACATTTACACATTATCACACTTTCTCCATCATTACATGGAGAAAACAAATGACTCGATTCCAGTAGTGAGTGAAAAAAACAACCTAGTCTGCTGTCATCTATATGCTGTGAAAGAAAAAAAATTAAAAAAAATGAAAAGTGTCAAATTTCTAATTACCAGATTATTCAGCTTTTAGATTTACTGCAGCACTTTTCAGTGTAGCTGTGTAGTATAATTATGATTTTAAATAACAATCATTTTTCTTTCTTTCCAGGAGCCAAGAAGTTTCCTAACAAAGGAATGGCCCCTCCATTCTCCAACAGAATGGATGGTGGTATGAATTTCACTGGTGGTATGAATTTCGCTGGTGGTATGAATTTCGCTGGATATGCTCCTGATTTTGGTAGGTCATTTTTTACTTTACTACTCTTTTCCTGCATTAACCATTATAATCCACACCATAATATGCTCAGCCAGGCCAAAACAACACTGCAACAATAGTTATGCAGGTCCAGTTAAGTTAAAATAAGGTTAAATATACACTAAGGAGAATTTCCATCTCAAAATCTGACAGCAGACACAGGCCTGAATTGAATGTAGACCCATATGAGTGTTAAAATTAATGCTTTGATTTGACGCTGTTTCTGTCTTTTTCTGCTCAGCTTCAGTTGATATGGGCGTAGCTGTGAGAAGGAGTGATCTCCTGCGGTGTAAGTCATCCTAGAAAAACAGTTCATGCTTGTTATTCCTAATGAACATAGAGATACTAAATGTCCACAAGTATCCAGACACCCCTTTTAATGAACAAAAATTGGTGCACCCACTGGTGGCACAAGTGTTAAACCGAATGCACACAAATTAATCTTCATCAAAAAACATTGGCAGTTGAATGGGACATTTAGTGGTGATGAAGCTCCATTGAACACCTTTGGGATGAGTTGCAGTTATGAAGGTCCTTTGAACACATTTGGGATGAGTTGCAGTTATGAAGGTCCTTTGAACAACTATGGGATGAGTTGGTCTAATGAAACTTCATTGAATGCCTTTGGGATGAGTTGAAGTGATGATGCTTCACTGAACTCCTTTGGGATGAGTTGGTGTGATGAAGCTCAATTTGAACACCTTTGGGATGAGTTGGTGTGATGAAGCTCAATTTGAACACCTTTGGGATGAGTTGGTGTGATGAAGCTTTGTTGAACACCTTTGGGATGAGTTGGTCTAATTAAGCTTCATTGAACATCTTTGGGATGAGTTGGTCTAATTAGGCTTCACTGAACACCTTTGGGATGAGTTGGTGTGATGAAGCTCAATTTGAACACCTTTGGGATGAGTTGGTGTGATGAAGCTTTGTTGAACACCTTTGGGATGAGTTGGTCTAATTAAGCTTCATTGAACATCTTTGGGATGAGTTGGTCTAATTAGGCTTCACTGAACATCTTTGGGATGAGTTGGTGTGATGAAGCTTCATTGAACACCTATGGGATGAGTTGGTGTGATGAAGCTCCATTGAACACCTTTGGGTTGAGTTGTAGTTATGGAGGTCCTTTGAACACCTTTGGGAGTGTGAAGAAGCTCTACTATACCCATTTGGGATGAGTCAGAGTGAGGAAGCTTCACTGAACTTTGGGATGCATTGCCGTTATAGAGGTCCATTAAATGCCTTTAGGGTGAATTTGAGTGATGGAGCTCAGAATTGGAAAAAGTTGGTGTGATCAAGCTCCATTGAACACAACATTTGGGGTGAGTTGAAGTGATGATGCTTCATTGAACTCCTTGGGATGAGCTTGAGTCATTAAGCTCAGCTGTACCTCTTTTAGATAAGTCTGATTGATGAAGCTCCATTGAACTCCTTTGGGATGAGTTGGAGTGACGACACACTGCTGAACACCAATGTGTTAGAGTTACGAAGCTGAATTAAATACATTTGGATGAATCTGAGTGATGAAGCTCTGCTGAACATCTTATGGATCAGTTTGAGTGATGAAGCTCCATTGACCTCCTTTGGAATGAGCTGGAGTTATGAAGTTCCATTCAACAACTTAGGTGTCTAACACCTTAGACAAGAGTTTGAGTGATGAAGCTCTTTTGAACTTCTTTGGAGGGAGCTGAACTGATGAGCACCTTTGGTACATCTAGTGGAAAGACCTCTTAGAAAACTTGCCTTCCCTAAAACTCTTAATTTTGTCAGAAATGTTTGAAGAGTGGGTGTGTGGATACTTTTGGTTGCTTAGAACATGCCTGACTGAAAACGTGTATATTTCTTTTTATCTAGATGCCACAATTCTCATGTTTGACCAGAGGACGGCCCACAGACGGGTGGTCCTCTCAGAGAACAACACCAAAGCGTCCGTATCGGATGAGCCGTCTGCCTATCCGGACCTCCCGACCCGATTCACTGTGTGCTCGCAGGTGCTCTGCTCCAAGGGTTTCTCTCAGGGCTACCACTACTGGGAGGTTAAAATGAGCAGCAATAATTTCTGCGGCATCGGCCTGGCCTACGGCAGCATCGACCGCAAAGGTCCGTCCAGTCGCTTGGGTCGGAACGCCCAGTCCTGGTGCGTCGAGTGGTTCAACGTGAAGCTGTCCGCCTGGCACAACAGCAGCGAGACGGTGCTTAATAACCCAAACCCTAGCCGGGTGGGGGTGCTGCTCGACTGTGGTGGGGGATCTGCCACGCTTTATAACGTGATGGCCGACCGTGCATATGCATTCCACACGTTCGTTTTCCCCTTCTCTGAGCCAGTTTACCCTGCTTTCTGGATCTTCTCCACTGGGTCCTCCGTCACCCTGTGTAAGCTCAATAATTAATGGCTCTTGTAAATGATCACTCATATGCGATAATGAGGATCAGGTGATTCTGTTATCATACAGTTCATTAACAAATCACTGCTGCCATGAGAAACTATGAGCTTATTTCTGCATGATTAATAATTGTTGTTGAGAAAACCTCTTTTGTCCAAGAGTTGTTCCACTCATGTTGCCATATCTGATAACAATACTTTATTTTTATTACCAGACTGCTGTCTAGTGGTTGCTAAGCAACAACAATATACTGTCACTGTTTTATCTCCATTTTTGTCATTCTTAGTTTTTTCTAATAATTTGAAAAGGCCTGTTGTCCTTTATGTTGTGTCAGTATTTCATGATGAATGTGGCAACCGAAATGGTCCAAAATTACTGGTTGTGTTCCAACAGCAATGATATGTTTTTGGGGTCTTCTTTGCTTAAATTCATGTTAATTTAGCCTTGTGTGGTGTTCAGGTCTGTGGGACCCATTTTCAATGTTTACCAAAAGAAAAAATTATGCTATTTATTATTATTTCAATCCCAGAGTCCTTGGCTTTTGCTCATTTTCTGTGAATAACATATTTCCATAAAATAACATTTTTCATAAAATAACACATTTCCAATAACTTCACACTGTACACCCCCTACACATTTATATTACACATGTGGTGTTGGGTGAACCTGTGGGAATAAAAGTGTGGAGGTGCTGTGTCCCTTCACTCTTCTCCTCCTACATGGCCTGCTGTCAGTGTGTGTGTGTTTGTGTGTGTGAGGGTGGACAACATGGACAGGCTGCTGACTGGCTACAGCTACTAAAGGAGAACCCTACGCTGACTACTTGTGATATTTTAAACATCTGGCATTTTTACATAAATTGTTATGGCTGTATTGAAAAATTATTGTATTGATAAAAAAAACAATAATGCAGTGGGTCCACCAGACCACTGAGTAACAAAAACATGACCACCACACAAGGGTTAAAAGCAACACAACATATATGTTGTCATGAAAAAAACATGACAGCTATGATGATATTCACCATAGGATACAAATTCATTAAATTTCTATAAGTTGAAAACATCCTTCTAGTTAAAACTCCAAAGAACCAAATAATCCATTCTGAACACTTTACTTTTTTATAGTAGTCAAACTACCACAATCAAAGTCTCTGCTTTTGTATTTTTTTCATGAAAATAAGTCGCTTTGGACCTAAAGGCCTTAATATGACAAACAATAATGCCTTTATTTATTATTGTTGGCATGAAAAGTTGCTTTAAAAAAAAAAAATTCACGTTTTCTCATGACAGCAGTGTAATACAGTAAAACGTCAACTTTTTAGTGGTAATCATATCAGTGATTTGCAATATTGTGTCATTAGTTCTATTAGGCTAATGAGTTCTTGATTATTTGCTGATTTTGATGAGTGAAACGTGGTAGGGGACAAATTCTTATTCACAAAGGAGTGATGTGACTCTAATCTTCTCCTCCCAAAGTGTAACACACCCAAAAGGAACAGTGAAAAGTATAACGTTCAGGCTTCAAGATTGCTTCTACTGTTTTCTGCTACTGTGTAAACGTTAGAACCCTTTTCATGTATTTATTTTCTGGTCAAAACAGCCACTGAGTACAAGTTATTAATTTATATCAGCTTTTTTACAGTGTTCAGTGCGACACACTTTATTACAGCTTCCATTGTTTTCAGGAGACTCACTTTCAGTTTCTCATAGAAATCTGCAGACACACCTCCAAAGTTCAGTCTTAGACGTTGGTTGATCGTTTTCTGAAGTAATCAAACACATTCAGTGATGTTAAGATCTGGGCTCTGGAGTGGTCAGTCCATTGTTCAGCTTCTTTGTTTGATGTGTCTGTCTCCTTTTCTCAGTGAGGCTTCTTGAACAGCTACACATCCTTTCAAACCCTTAGCACTGAGTTGTCTTCTCACAGTGGATGGATGGATAGAAACACCCGTGGATGTTTTCAGATCTGAAGCAGCTTGATTTTCTCCTCTCTTTCAAAGATGAAAGCTTTAAGTTCATCTGATGGGGCAGGTTTGGTGTCTACCAGATCTTCCAGGTGGTTGTTAGGAATCCCGTTTTCTCTGTAGCTTTTAATGATTTTTCGCGCTCCAGTTTTGGAAGCTGACTTATTTTCCTTTGACTTTCTCCTTCCTTATGCAAGTGGATTATCTTGCATCTAATCTCCTTAAACAGAAATATCTGAAAAATAAATAACGTACTTAATGGCTGTTTTGACTTGAATTTAAATAAATGAAAGGTGCTTTCTGATTTTTGTGAGTCTATTAGAGATTACTTGACAACTCCACATGGTTTGAGGCAAGTGTCAAAAATGATTTTGGTATGCAGGTAGCTCCATGCTAATTGGTGGGGTGTAAGCTTTCACTACTTTAGCAACATTAGCCTTGTAGCTGTGAATAAGATAGGAAGCATTAGTCGAATGCATTAGCTTAGTATTACTTTATCAGTCAATTGCCTGCAGTTTCATGCTGACAAACAGCTCCTGTTTATTTATAGAGTGTTGACTTATCAGCTCCACCTTGTACAGGTTTTACTGCCAGTAGGCAAATGTGGGCAAAGTCCACAGCCACAGCATTTTAACCAGAGGAGAGGCCAATAAAAGCGACTCCTGACGAACTTTCCGAGTGCACTATGCTACCTGTAGTGTGGCCAGATGTGAACTCGTAACGACAATACATGTCTCGGGACAGTTTGTTAAAATCAGTGCTGGATTCTGGTGAAAACCAGCACAAACAAGACTTTGCCCCCTCTAAAACCTGCCCCCAGTTCCCTGGCCCAGGCTTGTTTAAGGGCCCGATACACAATAATAACATGAGCTAAACAAGCTAGCTAGTCAAATCATTAGCTAACGGAACTGTTTTCGGTTCTTTTTTGCCGTATGTAATGTGTTCACTGCACACATGACTGTGCATGATAAATTGGAGGCTTTGGAGTCTTGTAATGACAAGCGCACCAGCGCCCCCTACTATGTGTTCTGCCTTCACAAAGCATAAAAAAATTCACACCTAGTTTGTTCCCACCCACATTTAGCCCAAAACTGCTCAAGGTTGTCCCTAGAGATCACGTCTTGTCCCGTGAGAAAAGCTGTAGTGAGGTGCCTTTCATGGTTTTTCATACCTTTTTTAAACTGCAATATAAAATATATTCAGTTTGCTCGTTGGGCATCTCACTGCTCAAACAAATAAAGAAACAACAGCCTTGAACTTGATGTTGAGGCAAAAAACGGACCTTGAAGTCGAAAGTGTTTGTGGATTGTGCCGTTTTCTTTCCTTCCACTGGAGGCATAATTAACCTCATATACCAAAGCAGTGGATTGGGAAAGAGTGACGTCACAATAATAAGACGTAGTGTATAAAAAAACTTCACTGGCGTATCCAGTAGGGGTGGGGCTTTATGATATGATATTATCTTGATATTATTAAAGATTTGTTATATGTTAAGCATTGTTAACATTTTACTGTAGTGTTCACAGGGATACATGACAACTGACATAACCTTACATAAATGTTTATAAATGTTTCTATCGGCATCATCTGTCATAAAAGCTACTTTAGCTAACTGATCAAAATTGGCAAATGTGAGCATTTATAAACATTTATGTCAGGTAATGTCATTTGTCATGACAAGGTTATGTTGGTGTCATGAAGTCTGAACAGCACCCTATAGTAAAGTGTTACCAGCATTGCAATATGACATTTAGATATGGGGGGGACTCCTTGGCGCCCTCTTGTGGACTAAGAAAACATTAGTATTTGGTATTTAGTCGGCTTAATAGATGTTAAAAATATTAATAAGAAAATATCAGTCATTTGGTATATCGGTACCCATAGTATCGCAATCCTATATCGTATCGTGTTTGCTCCCACCTCTCACATCCTGCTATTTATAACCATGGCATCCATTTGAAGTCCACCATAATGGTGCAATTCAAGGGTGCATGCAGAGCCAGAACACCCAAATGGAAGTGGTCAGGACTCTGTTTGGCTGCCCTGGGCAATGAAAGTAAGAATGAATTACTTTTACTTCATTTGAGCCCAGGCTTGCTTCGGCTTCGTCACATCAGACATGGCTGATAATTCCGTTTAGGACAGCGACTGATGTGTTAAACTCTGGATAATAAGAGCAAACCCCTTTTACGCTGATCTAGGACCAGCTCCACATACATAATGATCTCAAATATTATGAGAGAGACTGGATAACTGGTATCAGATCAATAAAAAAGGGGGGCTTTGTCTACTGGCACTGTTCAGAAGCAGAACTCAGGCTAAACTCATTGACTAACATGGTTTGTTTGGGTGTTTCATGCTTTAAGGTAATGCGTGTGCAGGCTGTATCAGATCAGATTGTCATTTGTTCCCAGACTTGTTAACTGAAAGTAACACATACTGTCAAATACTTTATATTCTTATTCTTATTTTCCTGTGTGCACATGAAAATAGCAAGTATATATTAGAGGTGAGTGACAGCAAAAAATTTAATGTGAAGATATCTGAAGACATTTTTGATGTTTCACAATATTCTGTTTTTCTGAGGTTTGTAAACAAATTCAGATAGTTAAACAGCTAAACTGCAAAGCTTCAGCGCAGTGTATAAATCTACATTCCCCCTCAGTAAAATGTAATATTGCATAGTGATAAATGACATTTGACTGCCTTTATCAGGAATACTCTGCTTTACTGACGTAGTTTCATTTTTTGTGTTTGTTGTTAATTTTCTATTTTGCCCATTCAAAATGAAAATAGTTTCCCCACTTTTGTCAATGAATTCTTCATTAAACCAAAATCAAATCATCTACAAAATGCTTGCCTATTTTTTCTGCAATAAATAAAGTGTCTGCTTTCTGAATCTTCCTAAATGTTTATGCTACTGAAAGGGAACGTATTAGAATATACTGTAATATGTTTTTATTACAACCCCAATTCCAAAAAAGTTGGGACGCTGTACACCTCCCCGTGTAAAATGTAAATAAATGTAAGTAAAAACAGAATGCAATCTTTTGCAAATCTCATAGACCCATATGTTATTCACAATAGAACATAGAACACATCAGATGTTGAAAGTGAGACATTTTACCATTTCATGAAAAACATTAACTCATTTAGAACTTGATGGCAGCAACGCATCTCAAAAAAGTTTGGACAGGTCAATATCTACCATTGTGTAGCATCTGTAAATGTCTGGGAAGTGAGGAGACCAATTGCTGGAGTTTTAGGAGAGGAATGTTGCCCCATTCTTCTCTGATGTAGGATTCTAGCTGCTCAACAGTCCTGAGTCTTCTTTGCTGGATTTTTAGTTTCATGATGTGCCAAATGTTTTCTATGGGTAAAGGTCTGGACTGTAGGCAGGCCAGTTCAGCACCCGGACTCTTCTTCTACAAATCCATGCTGTTGTGATGGATGCAGTATGTGGTTTAGCATTGTCTTGCTGAAATATGCAAGGCCTTCCATGAAAGAGAGGCTGTCTGGATGGGAGCATATGTTGTTCTAACACCTCTATATACTGTTCAGCATTGATAGTGCCTCTCCAGATGTGTAAGCTGCCCACACCATAAGCACTAATGCAAACCCATACCATCAGAGATGCAGGCTTTTGAACTGTGCACTGATAAGAAGCTGGATGGTCCCTCTCCTCTCGAGTCTGCAGGACACAGTGTTTGTGGTTTCCAAAAAGAACTTAAAATTTTAATTAATCTGACCACAAAACAGTTTTCCACTTTGCCTCAGTCCATTTTAAATGAGCTTTGGCCCAGAGAAGACGGCGACGTTTCTCGATCGTGTTGACATATGGCTTCTTCTTTGCATGATACAGCTTAAACTTGCAACTTGCATGTAGATTGCACGGCGAACTGTGTTCACAGACAGTGATTTCTGGAAGTTTCCTGAGACCGTGTAGTGATTTCCAGTACAGAATCATGCCTATTTTCAATACAGAGCCGTCTGAGGGCCCAAAGATCACAAGCATGCAATATTGACGGTCTGCCTTGTCCGCTGCGTACAGGGATTTCTCCAGATTCTCTGAATATTTTGATGATTTTATGTACTGTAGATGGTGTGATATCCAAAGTCTTTGCAATTTTACGTTGAGGAACATTTTTCTGAAATGGTTCCACATTTTTTAGACACAATTTTTCACAGATTGGTGATCCTCTGCCCATCTTTGCTTCTGAAAGACTCTGCCTCTCTAAAATGCTCTTTTTATACCCAGCCATGTGAGTTAGTTGCAAATTGCTCTTCCAGCTGTTCTTTTTCACTCAACTTTTTTGAGATGTGTTGCTGCCGTCAAGTTCTAAATGAGGTAATGTTTTTCATGAAATGGTAAAATTGTCTCACTTTCAACAACTGATATATGTTCTATGTTCTATTGTGAATTAAATATGGGCCTATGTCATTTGCAAATCATTGCATTCTGTTTTTATTTACATTTATTTTACACCGCGTCCCAAAAACAGTGTTTTTTGGAATTGGGGTTGCATATCACAACATACAAATGAAAAATGTAATGTCTTTTCAATATACTACACCATATAAAAATAAAAGGGCCCATTTCCCACATTTTATGTTTTATTCTTCCCGCCTTCGGTCTGCTCATGATGTTTATGTAGTCGCAATTAATCTTCCAACCTCTCCTTATCCCTTAGAATTAATCTCTTTATGTTGCTGTGCCTTGACTACTGATAAATGTAAATGAGTTCTGATTGGATGGATGGTGTTGCGCCTCATTCAGACAGCAGTCTGGTCTGAAACACTCATTGTCCACTCTATTAGACACTCCTACCTTGTTGGTCCACCTAGATGTAAAGTTAGAGACGATAGCTCATCTGTTGCTGCACAGTTTGTGTTGGTCATCCTCTAGTCCTTTATCAGTGGTCACAGGATGCTGCCCACAGGACACTGTTGGCTGGATATTTTTGGTTGGTGGACTATTCTCAGTCCAGCAGTGACACTGAGGTGTTTAAAAACTCCAGCAGCACTGCTGTGTCTGATCCACTCATACCAGCACAACACACACTAACACTACAGTGCTGAGAATGATCCACCACCCAAATAATTCCTGCTTTCTGGTGGTCCTCTGGGGGTCCTGACCACTGAGGAACAGTGAGAGGGGGGGTAACAAAGTATGCAGAGAAACAAACGGACTGCTGTCTGTAGTTGTAGAACTACAAAGTGCACCTATATAGTAAGTGGAGCTGATAAAATGGACAATGACTGTAGAAACAAGGAGGTGGTCATAAGGTTATGGCTGATCGCTGTAAATAAAGTGTCTGAGGTGTATTATAATCACACAGCCAGAGATCAGAGGTGTATGTAAAAATATTTATTATGGGTTCAGTTCTAAAACTTGAGCTTTACATTCACTTCCACACCAAAATTTCACACTCATCTCCTCAGGCATATCCAACACAGTTAGTATTTAGCACATGGAAAACGATTGCCTTCAAGCGTATGTGAATTCAAGAGTGATTTTAAGGTTGCTTTGGGGGTTTTGTGAAGCAAAACTGCGATATTTCTGATATTTCTCAGCCACAAGCCTAGAAGTCAAGCAGGACAGGATTTAATGTTGATTTCTGACTTTATTTTTCCAGCTTAATGAAAAATGTTGCTTTGGAGAAGCAAATTCACTTCATCTAACAGTTAAAAACAATATTCTCATTTAAGCTCTATAAGCTTTTACATTCTCCTTTATTCTGTAATAATAATTATGAGAATATGAAGCAATTTCATTCAAATGATCCTTTCACCATAAATATAACCTGTGAACAGCAAAACCACTTCATTTACAACCTCCATTTTTGTACAGTAGTCAGATTTTGTAGGAGTTACTACATGGAACGGTTCTATAACTATAATAATAAATACTGACTTTATGAATGGAATCGCCACAACACAGTATATAATCATTTTCACAGTCTCAACATCAAACAGCACCCACGACCGAACACAATCAAATCAAAAACCCCATAACAAATGATTCAAAATAACAGGGCAGATTAACCACATTTCTAATTCATAAAATTCACTCGTCCATACATTCATTCATTCAGCTCAGAGGCCCTGTCACTTTCCCCCCATATGAAAATGGAACATATGAGAATATACTGTAATATATCATTACATCGCAACATATAAGTAAAAAATGTAATGCATTGTCAATATACTACTTTATATAAAAATTAAAGGGCCCATATTCTACATTTTATGTATTTTATTTTTCCTGCCTGTGGTCTGCTTAATCTGGGCTGAAACACTTTTTATAACTTCAACATAAGTGGGTGGAGCTGAACTGCTGTAGGCTGAATAAGCGCATATATATATATATATATATGTGTGTATATATGAATAAGTTGATTTTTGTGACATCATAAAAGCTATGAGTTCAAAAAAGTGTTTTTGCATCAAACTATTTTGAGAAAAATTCTCCATGATTTTAAATATAATGTGTTGTATTTTCATTACATTACATATCGAGATATATATTAAATACGCTGTAATGTATTGTCATTATATTATGTAACAACATAAACAAACTCTATTGTAATGTATTTTCAATATGTAACAACACAAATGAAACATATCATAATGTATCATCATTATATTACAATCTATGAATGAAATATAATGTATTTTCAATATATTCCATTTTTGTTATGGGATCAATGCTCGGTAAACAGATCGAGAGACGTTTTCTCCCGGCAGCAAAGCAAAGCATGACAGAAACATAATCAAAACAGAAAAATGCAGATGTATGGTGCTCCGCTCAGTGGTTTTGACACGTCACACTGGTAAACAACCTGACTTCTAAAATAAACATCTCTTGTATTTCTCTGTACAAACAGGCATCAGTTTTTGTTATAAAATCTCTTGACAATTCTATGGCTTAACCTAGAGCTGCTTTTTAATACAACCAGAACATTAATATAAATATTGGCAATGCAATATCAATGGGCAACTGATGAAAATAAACGTGTTTTTGAATAAGACACTGTGGAAGACAATTTTTCCTACATTGAAAGAAGGAATGGATGGAATTTGCTTGATTCAAATGTGCACATCATTTCCATGTGTAATGAGTTCCCCAACAGCCCCCCTCCCCCCAATATTTCAAATTAACTTGCTTACTTAGCTTTTACATTTTTTAAAAGCTGTATTTTTTTTCTTTCAGTGCACAGTCGGGGTTAACCGTAACAGACTGAGGGGCGAGTTTGTAACCATCACTGTAAAGTCTGGTAAAACACTGCAAGGACTATTCAATACAATTCTTTGTTGTAAAAATATTTAATAAGATAAACCATTAAGCTGTATTAGACACCAGCAAATTTATTCCTGACCACAAAGTAGAACAGCAAATATCAGCAAAAGAATACCGATTATATTTTATTTACATTATATCTGTATTACTTTTTGCTTTTGATCAATCTGTGCAAAAGAACGTCCATACGTACATAACAGTTATGAATATATATGGTGGGATATAGAGTTCTGTCATTGTTTACTTGTAAGGTCTTAGTTGTAACAGCATGTTATAAAAATTTACACCATCAAGTTTTACAAATTTGCTTCAATTTGAACAGTGACCAAAAAAAATGTTTCAAAATTTACAAGACTACTACAACAAGACTATTTACAACTATGTGGATTTACATACATTATATATATATATATATATATATATATATATATATATATATATATATATATATACACATATATATATATATGCACACACATTTTCATGTAAAAGTGCTGTGCATATCTGAATCAAGTGAATTCAAAACATTACCGTTTTCAGTCTATGTTAAACTTGGATTTCTTCCTCTTTTAAAACAAATGACATCATGAAGTTCACAAACTGCAACAGTACAAAAGTGATCAGGTCAGGATTCAATCCAGAAAAGCCTTTTAGTCTAATAATTATCAGTGGGTTTTAAATAAACTACAAGGCAAATAGCAATTGCAATATGTAGCAATATAATCACAATAATCATATTTTGTCCATATCGTGCAGCCCTTCTGTACGATAATCTCTAAAATATTCTCCTGCATTCACACAGGAACATTTGGCTCATCAGTTCTCTTTCTGAACACTACGTGTGGTGGATTGGCAAGTCGTGGGCTTTGGGTTTAACCAACCTCACATGTACTGGAAAGACATTTTAACCAAGCAATGTTTAGGAATATATTCAGTGTGAACTAGGCTTTAAATATAAGACGTAACTTAAGACACAGAATACCAGTGCATTAAGGAATGGAAAAAAGGCAAAATAAATATAAGTGGAAAAGATATGAAAATAACTCTGAGGTGCTTTTTTGGTCCTGTGATTTGAAGCTGCAGGTGAGAGTAAACATGTTTATAGTGCATTTGCTTGAAGAGCTCTCTATAGAGGTTTATAATGTATGTATTGTGTGTGTAGTTACACACATGCTGGGTACTGACCCTTTAATAATGTGTAAAATCTGTTGTGAACATTTTTATCATTAAAAAAATTGTTTTTTTTCAGTGTACAAATCTCACCTTTAGCTTCTTCAAGACCAAAAATTTTAACAAAAAGATCTGAACAAGAAAAGCTGGAGGCCGGTAAAGCAAAGTCAATGGAACATCATTCGCATAGGTCTACAATCTACTTCATATTTAAGAAGCAAATATTAGTCAGGATCGTCCATAAACACAAAGGAAAAGTGGATATATGTAATAAATATATACATCCGACCGACCTCCCAACTAACCTACAGATTTATGGCCAAAAACACAAAGTTATTGCACAAAACTCAAGTAAGAATTTTGCAGTGAGTTTTCATAAGACGGTCCAGAATGGGACACAGTATCAGTGCATATTTTCATCATTCATACAGCATGCCACTGAAAAGACCTTCAGTGCTAGATTCAGTTACAGTCACAGTCACAGTTAGCCACACTGTATGATTTGGTGCTCTAAAATCACACACTGTGGCTTTTAATATGCTTTGTATTCGCTGAAGGTGTAAATGTAAGTTAACAAAGCTATTTATCTTAGTATGGCTGGAACATAAGCCCAAAATGAAGACTGTCCAATACAGACGTCTCTTAACCTCTCCTCCTGTTGGACAGGCTTCAATTTGGCCTAAAGTTATCGGGCTATCTGAGAAAACCTGCTTTGTTTTTCCTAGATTTGAGGGTTATTTGACGCCAGCGACCCCTTGTGGACAGCTGAAGAAATGTAAGTGCTGTGGAAAAGTTGGTGAGAGCTATGTATTATTCCCAACCATACAGCACTAATACAGGGCCACTTTCCACAGATCAAGTCTAGACTAAAAGGAATTTAAATACTCTTAGCAATGCAGTTTGATCAAAGGCTAGGCTTAATCCAGTTATTTAGCCCCAATATTGTGTCACGTGTGTGTTCCCCCAGTTATATAGCCTTAAACAATACTATATTGAGTCTCTATAACTGGGAATACCACAGTAGCTCTGAGAGAGGCTTCTGTTCTCCATGCTGGCTGTGTAAATTGTAAATGGCTGCAGATTATAAAGAGGTGCAGCTAAAGCCTTACAGTGACTGTGCGCTTTTCTCCGTATCACTGCACTTTGTGGTGCGGTTAGCTGTGTGCCCTTCAGCCTCAGAGGCGCTGGAGTCTTCATCGTCATCGTCGGTGTGCTCAGCGCTGTGGTACAGCATGAGTGCCTGGGTTTTATGGGTAATGGTGATGGTGCAGGGGCCCTGCGCCCACGGCTCTCCGTCAACCTGCATCGGCATGCGGGAACTCTTCAGGACCAGCTGAGGAACCACACACAGACAAAAAGGACACAACTATAACTTTACAAAGCTAACTTTCAGAGCAGAGCTGGAACTTTAACCCAAAATGAAGACTTACCAATAATAAAAAAAAATAAATAAAAAATAATAATAAAAAAAAAATCACCAGAATCACATCAAAAGTGTGTTGACTTACTAGGGCTGCACAGTATCTCATTTGTTAATCATTTAATTGTAATTTTGGTCTTTGCAATAATGATATGGCAGAGGACTGCAATATGCAAACGAGCCCTTTGAACAATCCATTATATAATTATTATTATTACTAGTGCTGTGGGTGGGCAAAACAGAAAATCACGATACATGATGCGCATGATCATTTTTAGACACAATAAAATGTGCTAGCAATGTAACACTTAAAACTTGCTATCAAAACTATGAATACAATGATTATTCAGCCCTTCACATACTACACTGCATGCAATCCTATTCAACAGGGCAAATTATGGCCTCTTTTTAATGAGACAAGCAGGTGGTCAGTGTTCTGTAATCATTGATATGTTCAGAAAAGCATACTGTGCATCACAAAAACAAAAATGATCAGAATAATGATAAAATATTATCGTAAGTATCCTAAGTACTGCAGTGACTCAAAAAATATAATACACATTGTTTATCGAGAAAATGTAAGTATCACACAATTTATATTTTTGCCATATCGCCCACCCCTAACACACTCAGTTATTTCTCACCCTCACTGTGTGTGCCTGGCCCAGTCTGACAGGGTTGGCGAGTTTAACCTGGATCTGAGCGCAGTGGAATGAGCCAAACACTCCGACTACCTCCAGCAGACCGTCGTCCAGCCTAGAGAACCACACAGATAAACAGACACACATGACTAAATTATTACAAAGAGAGCAGAACAGCAGGAGTAACTCTTCACGCTGAAAACAAGATTTTTAAGATGAAGCTCCAGATGAAGCTGAAAGACTCACTGAACCGCATTCCACACTGAAACGACTCTGTGAACACAGCACTCGGGATGAGTTTCCACTGTTAGCTTTTCAAAACTGTTAGAACCTTTTCAAAAAGGTTCTATATAGAACAATCTACAGCACATTCCCCATCAATCTAAAGAACACTTCACCATGCAAAGAGTTCTTTGAGTGTTCATGGTTCTATATAGAACCATTTTCTTCACTAAAAACCTTTGAAGAACCATCTTTAAAAGTGTAAAAAACCAAATTACCCTCATTTTTACATTTTTTTTTAAATAAAATGCAAACGTTGTTAAAGTTATGCCAATCATGGAAATGACACTGCCTGTTTTGAATTTCACTGTTTCTGTGATGTCCCAAGAACCAATTAATTTACATATACCCACCTATTCAGCATTCAGTAGGTTAGCTCCACCCATTCACACTGGGGTAAGGCACAATACAGGGTAGCGAATCAGAACAGAAGTCATTTACATATCATTATACATCAGGCACAGAAATAATCAGCACTGTTTTTGGTACATTAAACCACAAAAATGGTATAAGTGGTCCTCAGGAGAAAAAAAAAAAAAATACTACATGGGCCCTTTAGGGTACTCACAGTGAAGTTGTGGACCCTTAAAAAACCCATACTCTACATTTTCCTAACATTTTTCCAATTCCTCATTTCTTCATCCCTTTAGTATTAAACAGGCTGTTTTGGATACTGCGTCTTTAAGACTGATATATGTAAATGATGTGAATGTTCAGATTGGCCGCCCTGTTTTGTGCTTTGTTCAAAAGCAATCCAGGTTGCTGGAATGTAGAACAAACTTAAGATGGGACTGCAATCCACAGAGATGAGATAAAGCAATTTCAGCTGCTCATTTTTGATGTGTGGATCCTTTGAAAGACTGCGATGATGCATTTTGAAGAACAACACATCACTTCAATGGAAATGGGTGGGGCCGAAGCAGCATTGGAGGAATGAGGAGTCAAACATGACATCACAAGCAATGTTAACAATGTTTATTTACCACTGAGAGTGTTTTGTTTTCAAAAAAACAAATGAATTTTTCCATATGCACCCTTTAAGTATCTCACCGTGTTGGGGGGCACGGCTCGTCCCCCATCCCCTCCCACAGCCGGCAGCCTCCGCCCCAGTAACCAATGTTACACACGATGATTCCCTCTAGACTGGGCAAAGCCACCCGCTCGCCATCCAGCTCCAGCTGCAGAACAGACACACAACACAAACATTTTAGTATGACAGCAGTCCAGGGTCTGTCTCAGAAAGCAGGTGCTCTTACTTAGCCAGGTTACTGTGAGCTTCTGACTCTGGATTTTCAGTCTCCTGACAGTTAATCACTTCTTACCCGGATACATTATCATGGCAGCACATATGCTGCATGCCTAAACCGGTCCAGTGTCGGGTAATTTAGGATCGTAAACAGCTCTTGGACCAATCAGGGACAGTCCTCTGACAGAGGTGGCCCTTCAGGGCTTTTTCAGCTTAGTATTTTTACTTTGTGACGTTTGTGGCATGAAAAATATCACATTTCATTGGAGGAAAGAAATCATAGCACATAGATACCAAAAGCAGCGATTACTCCAAAGAGCACAGTGGCAGTGGAGACAGAGCTGCTTTTAAAAAACAGTTTTAAATATTTAATAAATTAAAAAAATATTTATTAAATATTTAAAAATATTTTTCAAAAACAGCTCTGTCTCCACTGCCACTGTGCCACTGGACTGAAACTGAACTGCTCTCCGACACCTAAATTCAAAACACACCAAAAAAGGTTTTATTTATGCTTTTGATTTTTTAGCAAGAACCATATGAGGTAATAAAGAAAGACTTTTTATTGCTGATAAAACCTGCTTTCAATGCATGTAAACACACTGAAACTTTTACTGGCAAAATCTGGTTTTCTCCAGTTATCAGATTATTAAGTGCATGTAAACACACTCAATGAGAGACAACTGAGCTGATAGTAAATAACAACAGTATAATAACAATATGTAGCTGCAGAATGTGTCACTAATAGTATTAGTGCATAGTCCACGCACAGTGGACAAAATTTTGGTGCATCCCTAATTACATTTTCCTCTTAAAAAAAAATCAGCTGCTTGACGACTTCTCATCTTTGTTATAAACGCTACACTTTCATGTGCATGTGAAGGAGAATAATCACAGCTTTGTCATATGTAAACCTGGGTCAACAGAGGTAGCTGTTAACTGCTGTCACAAAACAGCGGCTGCGTCTTTCAGCTGAAACCTGGGTGGCTAAAAGGGTTAAAATATTCACCTCAATTCTTTTGTCCAAGTCTTTGCACTCCTGCACTAGACAGTCTTTGGTACCGTAGAGGAAATACACCGCCTGCAGGACGACAGATTACAGCACAGTGAATAACATAACCACAACTTTGGGAAAAGAATAAACAAAGACCATGTACACACAGCGGTGGACCTGCGTCCAGAGTCCATTGCTTTGGCAGTAAGGAGCTGTGCTGTTTTGTATTTTTATGTATTTTTTTAAAAGCATTATAAATCACATAGGTATGGCTTACCCTTCAATTATTACAAACCTTAGACATTTTGAAATAATTACATTACAACGGTAATGATAATGTATTTTTTTATATTACAACTATATGTTAAAATTAGGGCTGATCTATATGGACATAAAACGTGATGTGCCTTAAAGCTGCTGGATATTGTGGCTACTATACGAGAAAAGATAGATTCAATTTCTCATTAATTAATAATAAATAATTATTAAAATTTTTTAATCAAAAGTACAAAATTCACCATTGTGCAGAACAGTGTCTCTAAAATCAAACAGTGTACTCATAACCATCTCATGCAATAATCTTCTGTGAGGGAGCTTTTAGAGGTGGACGTCCAGTTCCTATCACCACCACTTTGAACAGTCCGTATGCTTCTCTAGAATGGAGCATTTCACACCAAACCACTCTGAATGACTCTGTTTACATCTTAACCATTTAATTGTGCAACAATTTTGAAAAATTGGTGGCATTCTTCTGTAAAAAGCTCCTTATGGTGATGCAGGTTTGTTGTGACAGCAGGTTTGTTGAGCCATTACCGCTTCGTACATTTGAAACACTTAAGCAAGAAAAATCTCCCTACTAACAGTACATTCCCACGAGTGTCACTCTAATGCATGTACTGTAATTTGATCTGGTCTGTCATTGCAGCATTGCAGTCCTTAATAAATGTGCTCATCATGGACACACGATAAAAATATCGTTAATTCTGCAGCTCCAGTTAAAATACTGTATCATTACACAGTGTTATCTTGTTTATGATACTGTATTGTAATATCAGTAGACTTGCAGTCATACTCAGACCTTGTTGATGATGCGGCTGGAGAAGAAGGATGGCGTTTTTTCGCGGTGAGCGTGGAAGTTCAGGGCCATCAGAGCGTCTGGACCCACAGAGAAATAATTATTCATGGACAAAACCTGCAGAGAGATCAAATAAAATCAGACAAACTCAAATTAATAAATAAACAAATCCTAAACTATTCGTCTCAATGGTGGCTGCTCTGACCTTTGGCTTGCGGAAGTAGTTTCCTTTGGAGGCGACTTGAACTTTCCACCTGGAAGATTAGAAGAAACACAAGTGCAGGAGTTAGCTACACCCTTAAAAAAGACAGTTCTTCAAGGGTTCTTTAGTAAAGACAATGGTTCTCTATAGAACCATGAACACTCAAACAACCATCTGCATGCTTAAATGGTTCTTTGCATCATGAACGGGTTCTTCAGATTGATGAAAAATGTGCATAAATGTGATAGACAGTTCTATATAGAACCTATTTGAAAAGGCTTCTATATAGCACCAAATAGGGTTCTTCTATTCCTACAAGCTTGAGATCATAACAAAAGAAGAACCTTTTTGCTGCTATATAGAACCATGTTCAAAAAGGTGCTATATAGAACCATCTATAGCACATTCTCCATCAATCTGAAGAACGCTTTTACGATGCAAAGAACCCTTTAATCATATATAGGGATCAACTTATCAGCAAAACTTATAAATGTGCTGACCCTATCCCTAGACACACTGTTTTCAGGTTTGATACATTTCTGAGGTCAAGATTCAATTTGATTTTTGCTATTTTATGTCTTAAAATGAACCTACAGAGCTTTAATTCTACATTATAGATTATATACTGATCAGCAGTGTAAACTGACCTGTCCATCTTGACCACCTCGGCCTCCAGGACGCTCCTGATGACCTGCTCGATGGGAATCTCCCCGGCGTAGCCCGAACCCCAGCCCAGAGAGTTAGACAGATCATTGCCCGTCCCCAGCGGCAGGATGGTGACACGAGGAATAAACTGATCCTGACCCTGAGAAAGACAGGGGAGAGAGAGAGAGAGAGAGAGAGAGAGAGAGAGAGAGAGAGAGAATACTACATTAAATATATTACATGCACGTTTTAACACCCCCTGATCAAATTTGTTTTGTTTATTTTCTAAGTGAAAATATGTTAACACATGCTCTAGAGAGACTGATATATGATATTATTTGATCATTTTAGTGCACAAGTTTAAGATCTTGGACAAAAATAAACCATAAAATATAAAACATGTACCATAACTTTTGCACAAATCACATTTTATGTTTTATTTTTTTCCAATATGTTAAACTCACATAGACAGTAATTGTGCATTAAAATAAAAGGTTTTTCTATTGTTACGGTGTCAAGCTTTTAACAACAGAAGAACCCTTTTGGGTATATAGAATGCTTTTCAGAAAGGTTCTAAATAGAACCATCTACAGCACATTTATGCATATTTTCCATCAATATGAAGAACCCTTTTATGATGCAAAGAGCCACTCAATCATGCAAAGGGTTTATTAAATGTTCATGGTTCTATATATACTAAAAACCCATAATTTATAAATACAAATTACAGAAATATTAACAATATAATTCTTTAGAAATTTTAGAGGTGGCCAATATGGCAAAAATCCAATATTGCGGTACTTCAAGACATTTTTACAATACATGATGTGACAGTATTTATTTTTTCGCATATTTGATTGTAACTTAAAAAGGAACCAGTAGTGCTACATTAAAAAAAAATACTATCAAAAACTGTGAATGATTTTTATTCAATATTTGGCATATTGTGATGCACTAAATCCAGTTCAACAGAACTAATTTTGCTCTCATTGTAATAAAACATGCATGCAGAAAACAGTATACATGAAGCTTTCTACTTTGTAATGTAGCCTAATTTCAAATCACAATAACAACATATATATTGTAATATTGCCCAGCCATAGAAGAATTACAGTGTAATTACATAAAGTTACATAATTACAGTCAAAAATCTTATAGCGCTCTAAACAAGTTTGAGGAGCTGGCGTTGGGTTTTGTCAGCTGCAGGTTGTACCTACAGTTTGAGGTTTGAGTATTGATGTAATGAAGTTGTGTGTGAGCACCTTCAGTTTCATGGTGTCGATGGCGTCCAGCACCCAGCCCACCGTACCGTCTCCTCCACACACCAACACGCGAACAGCGCCAGGGGGCAGCAGAGTGCACAGCTGCAGAGCTTTAGCTGGAGCTATCTCTGACAGATCAAACACCTGCACCACACCACACGTTCAGTTACTCACTTCGCACTGGGAGCATCTTCATCATATATATATGTTTGGAGGTGCAAATGGACCTCTCTACCACATCCCATAAATACTCGACTGATGCAAACGTGCAGCCCACATCATTCACCGGGACTCTCCAGAATGCTTCTCAAACCAATTCTGGATAACTTGGGCCCTAATGGTGCATTGAATTAACCAAATTCAATTGACTATTGGGTTCAATTTCACCAGCCACACCCAGGCAGGCTGCCAGACCTGCTGAATCCAGGTCTGAGCTGTAAATATTAACATGTTTAATATTTACAATGCACAATCAGAGCCCAGACTGGACTGGGAGCTGATCGGATGAGTAAAGATTGGGTTATGGATGCTCCACAGCACAGGATAATCTGGGAAGATCATTGTTTAAGATCACCCTGATATCTGGAGACCTTTTGCAATTGTTGGACGGAGCAAATCAGCCTCAAAATTGGCCTGATTATCCTGTAGTGTGATCCAGCGATAAAACTAAAAAAGCAAAGTTCAGGCACCAAACATGTATTGGCTGACCATATTGGGGTACGGGGGAACACTGTGTAAATCAGACTTTTGAGTGAACTGTTGCTTTAATAGATTAACACCTTTTTGTAAATATAGTAGTGGATACTAACAGTTAAACAGACCCACAAGCAACAATACCATATTTCAGCATTTGTTTCTTCTCTTAATGCATTTGTTTTGACATTTTAAAGTTTATGATCTATCTTTCTGCTGATGCACAGAGGCAGATACCTGTACTGGGTTGAGGAGGGTGCGAAACTCCCCCAGCAGCACTTCTCCCATGTTGTTTCCACTGCGCGTGTTGGCCAGCACCAGCAGGGGGCTCCACGCACTCCCACACGCTGCGGCGAGCTGCAGCAAAGACACACCAGTCAGGACAACAGACAGATCAACAGTACATCTCTATAATTAACTCTCACTAATTACTGTTATTAAAATAGTGAGTCCAGCTGCTGGAACATGGCCACTCAGGACACTTACATAGAAAGAAGCAAATCATCACCAAAGAGTAACTACAGGAAAATGAAAAAACTTTAGCTCATAATGAAGGTAATGTACAAAGATTTTTTTCCAAGTAAATTTAGATAATTTCTATTAGACTGTTCATCACAAAATTTTCACACAATGTGAAGGGCAGCTGGAAAAATGGAGATACAATGTTTTTGTGACAATATGTTTTTTGGAAATTATTACATCTAATTGGAAATGTACTGATTTCTAATCATTACTGAGATCTTCTCCATCAAAAAGTACATTAAGCACTATTCAAACAGGATTTGTTTTCCATGAGTGTGTGGGTAATTACTGCTGTTTTCAGTGGTTTTAGACCCATCTGAATGCACTGTCAGTTATTTGTACTGAGTGCGTGCTGAGTAAGAATTTAGAATCATATTCCGTGGAAAAGGAGTTTCTTAAGTATGGAGGCTCAAAGAAGTGTTTAATCATGTTCTCTGTGACTACAATCAAACCGATATGTACTGTCCTAAGTAAACCACTCAGAACATTAAAACATGAAAAAATACTTTATTTTAAGCAGTGATGTTGACTGTTGGCTGTGAATTCCCAATGCTAATGAATGCTAATGACACACTGCATTCACTTAAGAGAGTAATACAGATGTGTAGGGTAAACAACATAACAGCTACATTAAATGTTTTGACATGTTTTGTGCTCTTCACTAGAGCAAACATCCTATCTCTGTCATTTATACTGAGATTTCTTATTGCATGTGAATTGGTCATAAACATTACAGACGTCCTGTCTTACATTATTTGCATCACCACCTGCTCATGGAAAACTAATCCCATCCGAATAAATTTGGAGACGTGTATTTTCAATAAATAAGCACACTCCCCTTATCGGTTTAACGTGTTAGAGCAGATTTATTTAGAGGAAAACAATAACACACATCTAAATATTTACACCAATATTAGTGGGCATACAACCAAAGGCCACACCCATCTGATCACCTTTTTTGTGATGTCAGCACTCAGACCTATCGGGGGTTTAAACCACCTTTGGGCCAAAAGAGTTTCAATATGAGCTTTTATCAACAGTTTGGAAAAACTGATCAGTTATTAGGGTTAGCATTATTACATCATTATATTACCTAAATTATCACTTGTATGGACGTGAGGCTGAGTGCTGAAGTTGGGCTGAAAATTACATTTTTTATATATCAAAATTGAAATATGAAATAGCAATTTTTAAACTGCAAGAACTGCAATCTTTATTATAGAGTACATTATCAACAACGTTGTCTTTCACATTGTCTTTCATAAACTTTCAAAGAAAGTTTAACCTAATAACGCAGAGCCTGTGAACTGCCTGTAGATGAGTTGGACCAATCAGAAACAACAAAACACCCACATTCTGTATGTGACATCAAAACCATCTCAACTAACTGGTAGTCTGATGCCATCAGCGGGCAAGTTTCATTCCAGAAAAAGTGGACATACTGATCTTCTTGGCCAAAAAAACATTTCTGAAAATTAATTTATAGAAAATAACTGCATTTAAATCGCAATATTGGCCCCCAATTTGTTCAGCCCTAGGTTGAAGAAACCTTCTGCATAGAAACTGCTGGCATGCTGCATGAGGCACAAGTCAGAAATAGACCCAAGGCAGATACATCCTGTCTTTACTGCAATCCTAGATCTAAAACCAGGTCCTGGATCAGTGGATGGCCCCTCTTCAAGCAGACCACATTCATAAAGGTGATTCCAGATCAGTATTTAGTGATGCTATTGCATTACCTTGCAGTACTCGTCCGGGTGCCTGCGCCTCAGTTTGTTCACCTGGTACAGGTACTGTGGAGGGATGATGACGGACCGAAACTCTCCCAAATCACACTGTTCTCCTCCACTCAGGCCGGACTTACAGTCATCATGCACTGTGATCTGACACCACACACACCTGCAAACACAACCGCACACGTCATTTACGTGCTGCATTTGGACATGTTGACCTCAGGCTCACGTGCAGCTGCTTCAGTGTCCCATTCTATTGAACATCTGTATCAGCAATAGGAGTCCCAATGATTTTTCAAAAGTTCTGCTTAATTCAACAGTATGAACGTAAACAGAATCATTCAGAGTGGTTTGGTGTGAAAGATTGAACATACACATGTCTTCTGAGTTTTATATGAAAGGTTGATGATGGGAAAATAGTGCAAAACATGAAATAATAAGTCTTCTTTATGGACCATTTTGCACCATGCCTCTAGCCCCATCACCATGAATGGACTTTAAAAACAAATTTTAGGCTAAAACCATCTTGAAACAGTGTATCAGACATCAGACAGCATATTCATTTAATGTAATAACTTTCTGTGAGGGAGCTTTTAGAGGTGGATGTCTGGTTCCTATTACAACCACTATGAACAATTCTGACTCTGGTAAGTTTCTCTAGAACGATGAATTTCACAACAAACCACTCTGAATGACTTTGTTTACATATTAACCATTTAATTATGCAGACAGTTTGAGAAATTGGTGGGATTCCCTTTAAAATAGCTAAATTCACTCAAACCTCTGCATTTTTTTCATGCTACTGTATTTGTAACCCTACAGAAATGATTTTACATTTCTCTGATCAAGCAGATCCCAATTAGGGGTGGGTGATATGGCAAAACCACATACACACACACCATCTAAACTTCTTATCCTTCTGGGTCGTGGGGGGGTGCTGGAGCCTATCCCAGCTGTCATTGGGTGGAAGGCAGGATTCACCCTGGACGGGTCGCCAGTCCATCGCAGGGCAGACAGACAGACACACACATTCACACACACATAATCACACCTGGGGCAATTTAGCACGTCCAACTAGCCAGACTACATGTCTTTGAACTGTGGGAGGAAACACATGCAGACACAGGGAGAACATGCAAACTCCACTCAGAAAGGACCCTGGTCGCCTGGCTAGGAATCGAACCCAGGCCCTTCTTGCTGTGAAGAGACAGCGCTACCCATCGCACCGCATCTTGAGATGCAATTTATCCCAATAATGATAAATACTGTCATATTCTCCAGCCTTACTGGGATGTAATATATATGATACAATAAAATATCATCATATTACCCCACCCCTAGTCCCAATTTTAAAATTTTACAAGTGTGTAAGTTTTGGAATCAGCAGAAATGTACATGAAAAATATCACAGATAGGCCCATATTGGTGCATCCCTAAAAATAACCTTTGTTATAACAGCACAGCAAATAGTGTGATGAGCAGTGCAGTTTGGCAGACACAATCTTGTTTTAGACTCACATACATACAATCTGGTCCCGACTGCAATCACAGGCTCAGCAGGTGACTCAGCAGCACTGCTCTTTGCTTTACGCTGTCTGTTACAGCTGCTCTGACCCTCTGCACTGTTTTGGAGGGAGCAGCTGCCCCTGACAGATCAAATCTGCTTTTTAATCAAATTACGCGTCAGCTCCTCATTAGCAAGAAGATTAAACGTAAACTGGGACAGATGCGCTTTTACTGCTGATCTGATAACACTGGATCTGTTCTGTTTGACTAGAGAATGCTGGGCCTGCAGGGTGTGCTTCATTAAAACAGACATTGCAAAGATTTGTTACTAGGACAGGTTTAAAGCCGCAGTATGTATGACTTGTTTTGTTAAAAGGGAAAAAAGTATCATTACTGAGTGAGGAGAATAAAAACTAAACTATGGTGAACATGTGCTGCTGTAAGCCGCTGTGTAAAGCCTGAAATAATCATTTAAAAGTCAAGGGCGTAGGGTTGTGTTTTTCCCACCACGCCGTATGTCTTTACACATAAACGTCACACAGACAGGCTTGAAAAGAAGGTCCAGCTCAATGTTTAGGTCTCAAATGATCTCAAAATCAACATTATACTGATGAAGATATGATGAAAATGATAGATAATTTGCACACATCCTCTGAAGATGCGTCCTTCACCAAGTTTTGACCGAGTTCTCTTTGAATTCTCTTTCAATCATCAGTGAAGGAGATTGAAGCACAACCCATGTTACAAAATGTTTTTCTGCATGCTGCGTGCAATTACGCATTTCCACCAAAGAGGTCTCCAAATCCCCAAAACTTATATAGTGCAGCTATTTAACAAAAAAAAATCTCATTTACAGTTTCCCACTCTTACTTCAAATATTTTTGAACAGCAGAGACATGTTTGGTGTCTAAAGATTGCTTCTTTAGTTACAGCTATGAGGCTATTGGGGTGTTATGATGCACATATTAATATTAATTTTTCCACTGGGTTGTTCTGTCATGCACCGTATATTGATTACCACTTTATACCTTCCATTTTAGTAAGAAAGAAAACCTTCTGTGCCGCAACCTAACTATTTACACTTGTTTTAAAATCAATTTGTCTTGGTCTCATGCAAAAATTTCTGTTTCTGTTAATTGAAGTTGAACCAGATACTGCACTGTTTTGGCACGTAGACTTTGATAAACAAAAAAAACAAAAAATAAACACAAAAACAAAAAAACGCTCCTAATTTTTTACTTCTATATTGAAAATGTGTCATTATCCACAAACCTACAATGCATCTCATATCATGAACTGTGTGTTGTGAAAATGTTTTGAAATATCGTGATACATCACTTGTACCATATTACGCATCCCCAGTTCCAACCACAATCTGTCACACCTGCTGGGTGGTGGCAGAAACTAGATCTCCACTGGGTTTGTGACCACTGGTGCAAACTGTTTGTCCAGTCACGTTTGTGTACTAAGAGTCTTGTGAGGCTAAATTATGCACTGAATAGTTTTCTAAAGAATCAATCAGAGATTTTCAGCCACAGATTCCTTAGGTTCTTCACTAAAGCAAGATTACCTTGGCACATTCTGTACCTACCTGTAGTCGCAGAGTTTAGGCTGCGTCCCGCACTGCTGTTTGCAGACGGTGCAGTAGCTGGCCAGAGGAACGTTCCCCCGAACCCAGCGGTGAAGGAAGCTGCCGTCTGCCTGCACCGGAGCCATGATCTCTTTACAGGGCAGTGTGTGATCGGCCCTCCGGACGCAGAGCTCATCGGAGCAGATCCCGCAGCACTCGCAGAAGGCCCCCTGCAAGATGGGCTGGGTGCACACGCAGCAATAGGTGGGCTTGTTGAAGAGGTCTGTGTAGTGCCAGCCATGCTTACTCCTGCGGAAGAGGTCCTTGAGCTGCACCTTACGCTTGGGGCGCTGGAAACTGCACCACAGGGTGATGAGGACGGGCAGCAGCACGGCAAGGCCAGTCCAGAGGAGCAGGGTCCAGTCCTCCCGGGAATCCTCCATGGTCGGAGACGGTTGGAGAAAGGGGGTTGACTAACTAATTACTAATGCAGAACAAACGGTTTAGAGCAGTTTGTCAGTAAGAGCTGAAAGTACCACATCTGAAGGAGCCCATATCATCAGATCACTGCTTGTAGCCTACACAAGCCTTCTAGATAGCTGTCCAACAACATGCATCAAATTCCAAGCTCCAAATCAGCAGCAACCACGCCAGGTTACACACAGATCACATAAGCATGCCAGAGTGCTCAGATCATCTGTATGGATCATTACATTTGAACACGCCATCAACCAAAATGCATCAAACTCCAACCATCCTGGCTTAGAACATTTTACAAGTGCAGATCACAACACTAAACTGCAGATCACAACACTAAACTGCCTAAACTGCATCTGTATCAACTTGGCTCAGTACCTTACCATCAGGAATGAGCTCATCTGCATGATCTGCATGATCTGCTGGGATCTGAGCTCAGAGCTTCCACACTGCCTTTAGACAAAATGAATGAAAGTTCTCCAAGCCACTGGTGAGCAGAAACCATCCCAAGGTCAACGTTATGAACATATTATCTATGCAAGTCACAACAGAACACCAACCTGCATCTGGAAAACAATTTAACTCCACTTCCTCCTCCTGTAGCCCTTCAGCCAGACATCTTCATCAACTCCAGCATCTCAAAACAAACCTCAGCCTCACTCTGACCCACAGCTGGAGCTCCTACTGAACTCTACAGCCGGCTGCGTTCACGTTTAACACCAAGGAGAAAGCCTTTAGAGCTGGATACCGCAATATAAACCACCATATGCGCGGAAAACGCTGAACAAAGCTGTTAAGCAGCTGTTCTTTAACCGTCTGTGAGCTCCTCAACTCAGCTCTTCTCCATCGGATCTCAGATCCGGAAGAAATGACGCACGACGTGAGCGCGCTTCCGACCAACCTCTTCAGTTTGACGAATGAGGACCGACAAGACCGGAAAGGGGCGTGGCTACAGAGGATGCAGGATTAACCCCCTCATGACCAAGTACGTTCATTATAATGAGGAAAATCGGTTCTGACTGGTCTGAGGAGGCGGATGATGAGCATTTTTACCTTCAACAGTTAAGAAGCAGCTTGAACTGTTTTGATTTACTTTTCACACTTTTATTCACAATCAAATGGATTTCTATTATATTGCTAAAGAGAACCCTGTCTGTTAAAGAGAACCCTGTCTGTTAAAGAGAACCCTGTCTGTTACAGAGAGCCCTGTCTGTTAAAGGGAACCCTGTCTGTTAAAGAGAACCCTGTCTGTTAAAGAGAGCCCTGTCTGTTAAAGGGAACCCTGTCTGTTAAAGAGGACCCTGTCTGTTAAAGAGAACCCTGTCTGTTACAGAGAGCCCTGTCTGTTAAAGGGAACCCTGTCTGTTACAGAGAGCCCTGTCTGTTAAAGAGAACCCTGACTGTTACAGAGAGCCCTGTCTGTTAAAGAGAACCCTGACTGTTACAGAGAACCCTGTCTGTTAAAGAGAACCCTGACTGTTACAGAGAGCCCTGTTTGTTAAAGGGAACTCTGTCTTTTAAACCCTGCCTGTTAAAGAGAACATTGTCTGTTAAAGAGAACCCTGACTGTAAAAGAGAACCCTGTCTGTTAAAGAGAACATTGTCTGTTAAAGAGAACCCTGTCTGTTAAAGAGAACCCTGACTGTTAAAGAGAACACTGCCTGTTAAAGAGAACACTGCCTGTTAAAGGGAACCCTGACTGTTAAAGGGAACCCTGCCTGTTAAAGAGAACCCTGCCTGTTAAAGAGAACACTTCCTGTTAAAGGGAACCCTGACTGTTAAAGAGAACCCTGTCTGTTAAAGACAACACTGCCTGTTGAAGGGAACGCTGCTGTTAAAGGGAACCCTGACTGTTAAAGAGAACACTGCCTGTTAAAAGGAACCCTGACTGTTAAAGAGAACACTGTCAGTTAAAGAGAACCCTGACTGTTAAAGGGAACACGATCTGTTAAAGAGAACACTGCTGTCAAAGGGAACCCTGACTGTAAAAGAGAACCCTGTCAGTTAAAGAGAACCCTGACTGTTAAAGGGAACATGGTCTGTTAAAGAGAACACTGCTGTCAAAGGGAACCCTGTCTGTTAAAGAGAACACTGCCTGTTAAAAGGAACCCTGACTGTTAAAAGGAACCCTGACTGTTAAAGAGAACATTGCCTGTTAAAAGGAACCCTGTCTGTTAAAGAGAACACTGCCTGTTAAAGGGAACCCTGACTGTTAAAGAGAACCCTGCCTGTTAAAGGGAACCCTGACTGTTAAAGAGAAGACTCCCTGTTAAAAGGAACCCTGTCTGTTAAAGGGAACCCTGTCTGTTAAAGGCAACCTCGACTATTATGAAGAACACTGTTTAGGAGAACCATGTCTGTTAAAGAGATCCCTGCCTGTTAAAGAGAACCATTTCCCTTTG